AGTAATTTCCACCATGGGAATCATTTCTATTGAATCAAGGCTCATATTGGAAATCCCTGAAGAATTCTAAGCGAAGATTCAACAGTTTGGAAAAATCTAGTAAAAATTTCTCATCAAGTAAAAAGCAGTCCAATAGCAATTCATAAGTCACCTATGAACACCACAGGGATTAAAAGGGACTTAATCAATTTCCGTGACAAAATAGCCTGTATCTACTAATGATGCCTGGTGGTGCCACTATTGAAAAGGCCCTGGATCATGATAACTAACAACTTGATCTTGAATGGTAAGAGTAGAGCCATTGTAGAACCTCTGAAGCAGATCCTAAATTTTGGGTGGATTAATATAGAAGAAGGGTATGTGTCTCACATACCAGGTGTTTAGGGCATTCTCAAAATGCCAGTTCTTTTCTTTAGAGGTCTCTTTGGACATTATAGGTCCTCTTCGTGCACAGTATTTATTTTTCCTTGCTGCAAGTTAAGAGGTCAGCCTAGGCATTCCACACCAGTTATGGGACTCAGCACATGTTAGCAAACGTCTATACTGACCTCTTAACCTGTTATAATTAGTTTCTGAAATTCATGCCAGCAGGTATAACTAACACAATTTTAGCCCCTGTATTATTTTTCCCTATGTGACTACAATTTCACTGTGGGCCAAAAATGAGTGTGCCATCACAAAATAATAATGGAAGGGTTTATTCTGTGCAGGCACATCCTGAAGAATAAAAGCTTTTCAAAATTTTCAATATATTTGTTGACAGTGCAGCTATTTTACGACAATGAAAATTTCAAAGAGGGACTCCAATCTGAAACGATGACTGAGAATTAATCAAGACCTTTGATTCAGTCCATTCAGCCTTGAACAGCAACAATGGCTTTCCGTCCCAGTACTGGCATCAATTAACATAAGCCCAGCGTCCCAGGTTTGTTATAAAAAGTGATGATTTGGGTATTCAAGCATCGTGAATTCTAGTATGAAATAATTTTGAAATGCCAGTTTTGAGATAACTTCCAATATGAATGGCAATATGAACCCAAAGATCTCCATTATCTCTCAAACCTAACATGCTGATCAAAACTTTGAATTTTGTATTTTTCTCCTACTTCAGCAATTCACTTTTCACTAGCTCTAACAGAATGTATCTTGAAATGACATTTTTGAGATAGTTTTTATTTTTAGAGAGTACATATTTAGAAGTGTGTATATATTTTTGAAACATTAACTGAAACAAGTTTTAATTTGTGTTTTTTGTGATTTTTTTTAAAAAATAGCAAATTAATACAAAAATTATTCCATTCCTAGCTTTTGCATTTAACTCCCATTTGATCCACCGCACCACCTCTATACCTACACCTATAGGTAAGTTTAATGCCCAACAATTCTGGATAACACTTCATACATTTGCAGGAACAAAAACAAGCCCTACCTAGCTCATGTTGTCTTGTTGCTTTACATCAAAGGTGAGGAAGATATGAGTTTGGTGGAGCTGCATTGCCCCCTTCTCTGAAACGAAAAAAGAGCTGCACCCTAGACCTGATCTAAGGCTGATGCTACCAAGGGCAGGAGGAAGATATCCCATCTTAGCTTTAAATCAAAGCAAACAGAGGCTTGAAAAGAAGGTGTATGCTAGTTGTACACCCTGCTTTAAAAATACTGTATAATGAATGCTCCACATTATTGCCATGATCATGCTACCAAAATTGAGCAGCACAATAGCAAGTTTGGTAGAGGTGAGATGGCAGATGGGGTTGCAATAAAGGGACTGCATGCAATCCGCGGACCACGTGAGCTAAGAGAAAGTGCAGAGGAAGCCATTACGACTGAGCTCCAAGTGACACCTCTAATGTTAGACAGCAGAAACTGCTAGAGCTCCCCACCTCCTTCAGCTCCTGTGGAAACGCAGTTTACTATCTGGAAGCCTGGGAAATTCTCCAGAGCAGAATTCTGGATATTGTAGAGGGCTCAAAAGGGATGACAAGAAGGATGAGATCTTGTTGCAGGAACCACAGAGAGATGGAAACAGTCCTTCTTAGATCCAGTGACAGGACGTCTTCCGAGAGCAGAAGTATGCAGATGGATCCTGGCCGAGAGTCTGAGACCAGCTGAGATGAGAAACAGAGACGTTGTGATGGTTCCAGTGTTTCGCTTCTGCCTGCTTGACTCACTATTAGATGTCCATTTAATGCAAAATGGCATTCCAGACAAATGACAGCTTCGTGCCATTCTAATAATAGAAAACTACTGCAGAGTGATGACAAGCCATGACACCTATTTGCAAGTGCTGGCCTTTTTTTTTTTTTCTGTTTATCATTTTTTTAAAATAAACATGTCATTTACCGGCCAGATGGCAAAACATTTGGGAGAAGGCATCCAGAAAAATTGCTTGCAGCCGAGGATGTGAAAATCTTTCAGTCTTGTTCTTGTTAAATTTCTCAGAACCCTCCCATTTCAATCTGGGTGGTTTGTTTTGTTTTGTTTTTTTACTACTGGAGATGTGTCTATTAAGATGATTAATGACTCTCACCAAGCTCCACATTTCAAGGACTTGTGATATACTGGGTCAAGGGGCATAAACCTCCCAAGATCCAGCTTCACCACACAAGAGAAAAGAAATTAAACAGGAAACACTTTACACCAAGTCAGACCTCCCTCCGCCCAATTTTCCAAGTACTTTCTACTGTAGGACAGTAGGTCTCCTTCTAGAGCTCAAACAAAGACCTTTAAAATATGCACGCGTGCACACACACACACACACAGTACTTTCTACTGTAGGATAGTAGGTCTCCTTCTAGAACTCAAACAAAGGCCTTTAACACACACACACACACAGAGTACTATTCTACTACTTCTTATCTAGAGGTGGCAGGAATTCACTCTGTCCTATTACATGCAAAGTATGTGCTCCATCATATTCTACTTTTATCTAGAGGTGGCAGGAATTCACTCTGCCCTATTACATGCAAAGTATGTGCTCCATCACTGAGATAAGTTCCATTAGCATAAAAGAACATGTGCAGCAGCTACTGAAGATGCCACCAAGATTGAAGGCAACTTCGGAAATGCCAAGGCTGATTTCCTCTCCCCAAGATTCACAAGGAGCTGGACATGGTCTACTCTCTTTCTCTCTCTCCTGTTTAAAAAGGTATTTCTGGTTTCAAGACTTCTGCTTTCATTTTTTATTTGGGTAGAGGGCTTGGAGGATTTGGGAAGCCCTGCACACCATTTTATGAGAGAGAGAGAAAAAGAACTGCTCCTAAAGGCTACTAGGAGTAGAAAATATTTTTCTTTTTTGCCTGGGGCAGCATGTCATTGAAAAAGCTGCCTAGAGAATTCACCAATTTGTACGCCTCTAACTGCAAGCATTGTTATGAAGCTGGCCAAGTACACTCCTGCACCACCACCTTCATCCTCAGCTTCCCCGTGTTGATAAGAAAAGTCAGAAAAGGAATTATAAACACAATGAAGTGAAAAGGAATGCAGAACTCCAAGGGGCTGGAAGGACCTGCCTCTGCAGATCTTCCAGTCACATGGAATGTTCTAATTGCATTCAACCAAGCATGGGGACACCTCGTTTTCAGATCTATGCTGGTAATGGAGGGAGGTAAAGATGGGGAGGGAGCCAGACTGGAACACAGAAACGGTTCTCTCTGTACAGTTACAATAAACAGCACCTGAGTAGGATTTAGTCTTGTAGACACGCCGGCCACTCAGGGATCACGTGATAAATGGGACTGATGTGGAGATAATGCACCATAATATGATGTCAGTAAATATATCATATGGAAGAAAATGTCTGGGTCCGACACTGATGGCACCAATACAGAGAAAGTGTCATTTTAAACAAATAAGCAAATTGGGTTTTTTTCCACAAAGAATGCTTATAAATTGTTATAAAGGGGAGATATTTTTCAAAGTGCCAGGAAAGGTCATGAACAATGCAAAGCATTTTTGGCTCAGTTCTGCATGCAACATTGGCTATAATAGAGTACCTCCCGCTCTCCTTATTCATGGGCCAAGAGAGAGAGAGAGAGAGAGAGAGAATTAAAATAAAACAAAACATGATCCTGTGCTGAGTGCAAAGATGAAATGATTATTTCCTACAGCCAAGTTGAAAAATAAGGTTTCTCGGTGGAAGCACCAACTCAGCATGAAGTTCTGCTAAGGAGTCAAGATGGATGATGCTAACTTAAGAGATGAAAAATCGGAGCGGTGGAATGGTCCATTCGAACTGCATCTGCTCTCCACCCCCTCCCCTCAAACCACTATTCCTTATATTCAGAGCATTGGTAATAGAAGTGGGCAGGAGTAGATAAGCACAATGTAAAAACACCGCTGGCCAAATACATCATAGCAGTGTGGCTTGCAAAGGGAAATGCTGAGAATTATACATCATCTCCTCTCTTCGATGTAAATGCAAGATTTATGCTTGGTCTCAGGATTGCTAATTGATTACATGAACAAAGAGTCAATAAAGAAATCAATAGGAAATACCTGACTGAAGGGCACAGGGAATACACACAGGAGGGGAATTTTTAAGTCCATTGCAGATATTGTGGTAAAAAGGTTAAGTGCTTCTATATATTTACTGACTAGCTTGTTCCATGGGGAAGAAGGAAGGTGGCGGCAGCAGAAAGCTAACAACCTTTTCTATCGGTGTAATAAAAGAAATAAGCAGAGATGTTGACACAGGTTACAGGCAGGATCATTTGCATGTCACACTTCCACAGGAATGCAGAAAAATAAAAAAAATCAGAAATATGAGAACTGCTTAGTCTTCATTTTGTTGTTTTTCTCTGAAGCCCACAGGCATTCTTGTTCCATCTTTTGTTCCTATTAGGTTGCAAGACTTTGTTTTTACTTCCTGCACAGAAATGTTGTCTGCATTTTCCCTCAGAGACCTATTTTTTTCATGCATTCCCCAAAGAAGAGAGGATTCACACTGGCCAGCACACAGTTGCTAGGATGACCCAAAATGAAAGACAAGGAAGCCCACTTACCTCGACAGAAGGGCAAAGGGAAGTCCCACGAGGCAGAGTTTTCTGAGCTTGCATGGCAGGTGAGCAGAGCATGGCCTTCCAGAAAGAAGCCTGGGTTGCAGCTGTAACGTACTTTGTCACCAACACTGTAGGTTGTCCCCTGTTGGATTCCATTCTGGAGTCTTCCTGGATTTCCACATGTGTGGCTTGGTAGAACTGTTGGGAACGGAAGGGAAACAAATAGACTTTGAGTAGTCCAATGGGTGTTAATCAATCACCTTTCAGTTTTCCGGTACATACGTGCATTTCCGCTAATTTCCCTCTGCAACTTCACCCTACTAAAAAAAATGCTAAGAACGATGGGGAAATGTCACAGGTTTTCTCTCTCTTTTTCAAGCTGTGATAATGTGATGGGCCTTTCCCCATATACTGGGAATTGTGACATAAATACAAAATCTCCTAACCTTAAAGGCTTGAGAGACAAATAAGAAGAAGGCACAGCCCCATGCAGCACGATTCATCCGACATCTAAAAGCCCTGAGAGGTCAGGAGAGCCAGCAGGCAACATCAAACCACATTCTGCTCTTTTATAAAGAAGCTCTGCATGCTTGGGAGGCAAAATACAAATACTTACACATGACCCATGAGACTGAGAAATGCAAAATGCACTTCTCCTCACTGCTGATAACGGCAAGGAATTTCTTGGGACCCCTGAGAGAATCTCGGCATTAGCAAGAAGAATGTTTTGTGGAACCCCCTAGGTTTCAGCACAAAAATTGCCCATTTCACAAAAAAAGTTCTATTTGCATCATAGCAAATTTAGCAAGCATTCTCTCCATCCCTACTTTTGAGCACTCTCTTCTTCACACATGCTGTGGAATCATTTCATTGCAAGAATAAATACTATAAATAAATAAACAGTGCTCAAAATCACATTTCTTACACCTCCTGGGGAAAGCCAAATACTGTAAATTTCAGCTGTGAATTGTTGTTAGTTAAGAAGTCAGCACTTGTATCTCTTGCCACACACCAGTCACATGACTTGGCACGCAACAAGAAATGCAGCTTTGGCTACACTGGAGGCAATTTGCAGATGAGATTTACACTGCTAGAGTTGAAGCTGGTAGGTGTAAGTAATAGGATTCTGGCCATTAAATCATGAATAACTGTTTCACTTAGCTGCTTGCTGGTGCAAAGCAAACACTAAGATTTACCATATGGATGTAATGACTACTTGCAGTATTTCTTATCCTCAATGAAAAAGTGTTTTTGATGCATTGAGACCTGTTATTGAAAAAAATGTCTTGCTCCATGATTTTTCACTTTTGAACAAGAATAAAAAACATTTTCTTTTTTTTGTCAACACTGTTTACACAACATAAGAGAGCATTGTTACATGAAAACCCTTGCAATTTGTGCAAAAATACCAAAGTGAACCACTTTGTTTTGCATAACAATTCTTGTATTTTGCACAAAAAACAAGGGTTTTGTGCAAAATATGGGGGGCAAGATCCTCTGCAAATGCAGAGTGAAACTGCTCTGTGCATGGAGCACTCAGCACAATCTCTAATATGGAGTAAGAAATCATGTTCCACATGGGAAAGACAGTAGTGAAAATTCCCTTTTGCAATCACTAGGAAGCAGACAGCCTTCCTTGTATAAGAAATAAACATTTCTGTGCAAAATTTAAAGGTTTTCTGCATAAAAAGCAAAGTTTAAAACACACACATACACACACACACACCAAGAAAATACATTCACTTTCCCCCCTCCAAGTAATAAAATGTGAAAAATTCAGCCAACTAGGACAAAATATTTTAATTATTTCTTTTTCTTACAGGAGAGAATGAAATTACTGAAACAAGTGAAGATTTATATCCTTCATTTACCATGATACAGAAAACTATCCTTTGCACCTGCTCTACAAATCTACATTAAGTCTTCAAGGAGGGAAATTCTTGGTCGTTTGAAAACAAATCTATGGGATGTACATCTAATCTTAGCAACCTCTGAAATATTTCTTAGAAAAGTGTTTCTTAACTTGTTTTTTTCTTTTAATGATAAAAAAATATTATTTATTTTATTTTATTTTTATTTATTTGTTTGATTTATACTCCACCCATCTGGTCTAAAAGACCACTCATTAATATGACCCCTTTTAAATTATGTCAACTCATATTCTAGAAACAGTTTTGTATATATTGACATTAATGATTATCAGCAAATGAATGTTCACACTGTGTTTTAAAACTGTTATATGTATATCAAGGATTATTTTCCAACATGAGAGGGGCATTCCAATTCAGCACCATGGATAGTTACCATCTTCTACAACAGTGGTTCTTAACCTTTGTTACTCAGGTGTTTTTGAACTGCAACTCCCAGAAACCCCAGCCAGCAGAGCTGATGGTGAAGGCTTCTGGGAGGTGCAGTCCAAAAACATCTGAGAAACAAAGGTTAAGAACCATTGACAAGATGCCTCATTAGTAACTGGCTGGAAGTCAATAGTAAGTTGCAACTACAGTTGACCCACTAAATCAATGGAACTTAGAGAAGAGTTGACTCACTAAATTCCCACTGACTCAGGGGACCCATTCTACTGTAGCTGTGGCTCACGACTGGATTTCAGCCATTGCACTGCTAGAATGTGGCTCTCATCAGCTGCCCAAGGATGTCATCTACTGGTGCAATTATGCAGGCACAGCTCATTCCATCCCTACATGTGGTTTCCAGTTCAGCAACATCACATCCCCTGATAGTTCAGGGACAAAACGTGAGCTTATGGGATGAGATTGCATGATATCACAGAGGCAAGAGTTGGGGGCAATATGTGCTCCATCTAATTCAATTTCTGCTCCAGAACCTAACTGATTAGTGATGATGCTTCACTCCAGAATGGAGTCTGGTCATTCTGGTTTGATCAAGACCTTGCACAAACTGGTTGAAATCAGTCTGATTTGGTTTGGATTTTGTGATTTGTCCAAATGTTGCACATGAGTGGTACTGAAACACCTTTATGTGCTGCTGCTTCTCATATTCAAATGTTAATTCAGGAAGAAAATTCTGAGAGGCAATGGCAAATGATGGAGGGCAGGTTTATAACTTGAGCTACCAGCCTGAGCTACCAGCTGCTTTTGAGTATCCTACAGACAGACTGAAGGCAGATCCATTGCTAATCTGCTTGACTTTTATATGTGGAATACGAGGGTTTCTTTGTTCTGTGCCTCAGGCAGCAAAATCTCTTGGACTTGCCTTGATGACATCCAGCACTTGGGAGAAAAAGGTCACTGAGTCCCTTGGGTCACCCAAGGATGGAGACACTTTAATATGACAAATGAGCTGAAGATCAGCACCAAAGATCAGTTCTAAAAAAATTGCTTCATTTTCTGCACAGACTCTCCCAAACTCCATTTAATTGCATCACTGATGTCATTTTTAAAACAGCTGTGACAAAATTTGAACCTGCTCCCAGCTTTTGAGGCTTCTTCATTTGAAATTAATGACTGGAACTTCAAATAAATATCTATCATTTTTTAAAAAGTCACCATCTAACACTCAATGCTCTTGATTTAATGAGCTGTTAAGATAAGATGCCAGGTCGAGGCTGTTGGCTTCTGACATGTTATATTTGGAAAAGCAGAACCTCGTTTACAAATTCTGCCTCATTTGCTTCTGTTAACAGACGTGACATTCATTTTGAGAGAACACATGTAGGCTGTGGGTTGGGGGTGGCCCCATTACCACATAGCAACACTCACTTCTGTAGAAACTGGTTACAATCTACACTATGAATGAGTCATCTAACAACCAGATACAGTGCATAAAAACAACAAAGGACATTGTGATGCCTCCAAAATTAACATGTTTGTGGACTGCAGGTCACTGGGATCTAATGAATGATTTTCTATATTTCAGTTCAACAGTCTGGACTTATACAGAGTCAAGGTTTGATTCTTAAGCCCAAGACAAGGTACTGTTTTACTAATCGGGCAAAGACAGAAGCAACTTCCGGTGATCCTCAGGTGTTGTACTGCCTGCCTGTTGCAGTGCTGAGCAGGGGCAGCTCAACGCATTCTACTGACTTGAGGTACAAAATGAAATTATGCTGGGCTCCTGCCCAAGTCAAGGTCATGGTGCCCAAAGCGAATAGTGATTGTGGGAGAGACAGAACCAAAGTGGTGTGATAAAAGATAAAGTCAAAAGAGACTGAATTAAATGAATTTAACTGTTGTGAATAGGTGTTAGTAATTGTTTATAACATTCTGAAGTAAAACAATTCCTTCACAAAGTGGAATTTTTGAGAAAGTCAGCATGAATCACATGGGGTTTTCCTACCATGTAATTTTAAAATTTAAAGTCAGGCAGTTGTTTAAAAATAAATCCTCACAAAAGCATCTTCCTAAGTCAGGGTGCACAGCACCCCCAAATCAGTCAAGTCATCCTGGCACAAAAGGCAGGAGACCTCTCAAACGTCCCTCTTCATCTGAAGTAAGCAATTTGCTGCCCTTTCATGACATCCAGAAGCTGCTGCCTGAAGTACATACAAGTAGCTGCCTCACTTTAAAAGCAGGATGGCTCTAGGGGTTGATGCTCTTCTGGCCTCCTAAGTTATTTCCAGCTACTTCATTAGGACAGGACCCAACCTCAGATCACAAGAATTCATATTTCAGCCCTCCATTTATTAAGACATCTCCAGATGCATTTCCTTCAGATTTGAGTGTGGTAACATTTAGCCTCCATACAGGGTTGCCAGCAGGAACACATTTCCTGAGATTTCAGGGCCGAACCCATTGAACAGAGGGTGGACCTTTGGGATGTTATGGGCAGGGGACACAGGAAACGTTTGGGATACAGGAGTTTCCCTCCAGATTTTTCACCACTGCTGCCAGGACCTGTGTAACAAGAAATCTCATGAGTTGCAGTCCTGGTGCTCCATACCCTGTCTTCCTGTATAGACTGTTTTTGCAGACAAAGCCCGGAGTGAAAGGACTGGGGAGAGAACCAGTGGATGCAGGATGATGGACTCATCATAACAGTTGAAATATCACACAGAGCCACTGAGTCCTGACACCAGCTACAAATAGATGGAGATAGGTACCCAAAGCTTATGATATTAACGGAATGTGACAGGGCTTAGAGCTGTGGATGTAAATGGTCCTGGACATCTGAGGATGGAAATGGGTACAGAGGAAATCTGAGTAAGTAAGCCAGGAGGT